TCATAAAGTTTATGGAATAACTCAAGATCCAGAAACCAAGAATTATATGGTGGTTTTGGATGATATATGTGAAAAATGTAATGAAATGTGTATTTCAATACATTTTCAACGAAATTTCAAAAATTGGACTAGTGGTAATAATGATATTGATAAATTCATTCAAAATACTCAGCTATCAGAACATACTTATCAGGTGAAAAATGCATTAGAATGGATATTTTATAATAAACTTTATGATATATATGTTGATGAGATTGGAAAAATGTATAGAGCAAAATGGATTGATGGATACACAATTGAATGGGATGATAAAAATCAAAATTGGAAAAGAGCGGATCAAAATATGTTTGTAACTCTGAAAATTCTAAATAACTCAGCAGGTATTACAACAGAATTAAATAAGGTATAATAAATTTATACAAATTAATCAATTGTACTGTGCCATTTTGTGAAAAAATATTTAAAAAACTAATAAATTTTTACAATTATTTCTACTGTAACCTATTGTAGATTGTAGTGTTTCATAAAGTTTATGGAATAACTCAAGATCCAGAAACCAAGAACTATATGATGGTTATGAATGATATATGTGAAAAATGTAATGAAGTGTGTAATTCAATACATTTTCAACGAAATTTCAAAAATTGGACTAGTGGCAATCATAATATTGATGAATTCATTCGGAATACCCAGCAAATTCATAAATATAGTAAAATATCATATGTAGTAGAATGGATACCTTATGATAGATTTTATGATATTAAATATATTACAAAAGGTGGGTTTGGAAAAATATATAGAGCAAAATGGATTGATGGTTATATAGATAAATGGGATGACTATAATCAAAATTGGGAAAGAAAGGATCAAAACATGGTTGTAGCTCTTAAAAGTTTAAATAATTCAAAAAATATTACATTAGAATTTATGAATGAGGTAAGTTATTTAACTATTCTTAATAAACATTTAATTTTTGGTATTAATACTTAATTATAATATTCATAGATTATATTACATCATAAAGTAAATTTGTATAAGCGCTTTATTAAATTTTATGGAATAACTCAAGATCCAAAAACAGAAAATTACATTATGGTTTTAGATTATGCAGAAAATGGAAGTTTACGAAATTATTTAGACACATGTTATAATAAATTAGGTTGGAGTGATAAGTTTAATTATTTACATAGCATTGCACATGGACTAGAAGATATTCATGAAATAGAATTAATACATCGAGATTTGCATATTGGTAATATATTAAGGCTCAAAAATCTCACTTGCATAACTGATTTGGGGTTATGTAAACCTGCTGATTATAATGCATCAGAGAATGCAAAAGACAAAATATATGGTATTTTGCCTTATATTGCCCCTGAAATTTTACGTGGACAAAATTATACCAAAGCTTCAGATATTTATAGTTTTGGCATAATCATGTTTGAAGTAATTTCTGGATTACCTCCGTTTTATGATTTAGGTCATGATTTAAAGCTAGCAATGAAAATTTGTAAAGGACTTCGACCAAGATTTAATATTAAAGTACCTCAATTGATTGTGTATTTAATTAAAAGATGTTTGGATGCAAATCCATTAAATCGACCAAATGCAGAAGAAATTAAAAAAACTTTAAGCCAATGGTTTAGAGAATCAAATAGTTTGTTAAATATTAGTAATCTTAGTGATTATACAAGTATGCAAAAACAAATTAAAGAAGCAAATGAAATAAATAACAGTTCATCAAATAGTAGTATAACTTCAAATTTAGGAACATCATACATAACACACTCAGAAGCTACTTATACCAGTAGATTACTCGATTTTGATAATCTTCCTGAGCCAAAAAATTCTGATGATTATTATGAAGAAAATGATAATATAATTAGCATAAAATTTTCAGGTATTTATTATTAAAAAAAAAAAGGACTTCATATTAATTGTAAAAAATACTAATAAGGTTTTAAATAGAATCCTTACAAATTGATATTTCTCAATTGAATAATAATAATTCTTTTGAATTAAAAAATTCTAATGATATTTATGGAAAAAATGATAATATTAACATGGAATTCTCAGGTATTTTTTTTTTTTAAAAAAATATAATTAATTATAAAAAACGTTAATAAATTTACAAATTGATGATTTACAATTAAAAATTATTTTTCCTGAACCAGATAATTCTGATGACACTTATGAAAAAAATGGTGATAATATTAGTATGAATTCTTCAGGTATTGATTTATAAAAAATATTCAAATTATCATTTAAAAAATAGTGACGATTATTTATTCATTAAATAGAATCTTTACAAATTGATATTTCTCAACTGAGCATTAGTAAAGATAGTAACTATATAATAAAAACAAAGCTATTACAAATGATTTAATATACAGTACTTATCTTATTCGTCCATTTTTTAGATCAGAATAGCAAATCTAAAGGCGAAGAAAACATTTAGATCAATTATTTCCCATTTGCTATTTTAGTTATTGTAAAACTTTAAATTTTTATATTTTTTTAAATATTTTTTTTTCTCCATTATAGTTTAAAAATTTAACTATCATTAATCTTCAGTGAAGGATAACAAATTTAAACTTTATTATGGTTTAAAAAGCGTTTACTAGTATTTATTTTTTTTTGCTTTTCAATAGTGAATTGAAATTGTTGATTAATTTGATATAATTATAAAATATAATGATAAAATGGAAGAATAGTAATAGGAGTAGAAATAATGATAGACAAAATTTTAAATTATACTGGCCTTTATTGTTTAACTTATATGTATTTATTCATTTATCTTATGTTTACTTGATACATTAAATTAAATAAAAACTTTTTAAAATTAAAATATGTCATCCAAAAAGGAAATGTGTAACATCATCTATGGTAGAGGTCTGCAAATGGGACCCAGAACCCGGAAACCCTAACCCGGCCCGGACCCGGGTCCGGGTTTGGGCCAGCAAATTTTCTTCAAAATTCACCCAGGCCGGCACATGAATTTTCATCAAACCTGGATTTTCATAATTCTGGCCAAAATCGTCTTAATCCCGGCCGAAATTAAACTGACCTAAATTAAGTTGGACAATTTTTTTGTTTTTACAACAAAATAATATAATAAAAGTCCGGGTCCGGTCTGGGCCAGGTTTTTGATATTTTAAGTCCGGGCTGGGCCAGGCTGGGCACTTTATGTTAATTTCCAAGTGCGGACTGGGCCGGGTTGTAAAATAGTGGTCAATGCAGACCTCTAATCTATGGGCTACTTCGCTACTAGGAATAATAATATTAATCCCCTGTCACACTAAGTGTCACTTATAATCACTATATACTAATTTTTAAAAATTTCGAGTGATTAGCTGAGTTTATAAATGACCGGTTTAAAACAGTAAATATCTAATGAATGATACGCTCCAGATTACCCATTTACTATTTCATGGGAAGGGGAACATTAGAGGTTTTTTTCCCTTTAGAAAAAACCCTATTATTCCCAACTCCTCATGAAATAAATAATACAAATTTCTGGATAATATTACTTAATAGTCAAGTAACCCTTCCAATTGGTTTGTCGAATGTTTAATACAAAAAAAAAGAAAATTTTCTTGCATCCGCTTAGATGAAATTTTATGTGCATTTTAGTCTAATGACATAAAAAATTCAAAAACTCAAAAAAATGTCTTCTTGTGGAAAATATGGGAAATTAAGTCGATAATATTTCAAAATTTATTGAAAATTCTATTGTTAGAAATTATATGACGATTCGATTTGAATTAAATAAAAAATGATATTATTTATATAGACGATTAACTTCATTCAAGAGATAAAGAAATTGTTACATATATCCCGAGTTTCGCTAAGTAAATTTTCCCGAGTTAACGTGATGATATGATAAGCAATTTATCACAATTTTGTTTATAAATTAATTAGTATGGTATTAAAAATTTTTTCATATCGCATAACAGATAAGGCGAACCGCATATGTAAACACCGCAGCTAAAAACATTAATAAAAATTTTCAGAATACTGTACTCTAAAAAAGTGACATCATCTCTATCATCTATCATCTTCTGTGTAAGGTATAAAAATTATGCTGAACATCAATTATGCACGCCCAGTGATTTAAAAAAAGAGGTAAGAAATTTGAAAATCAAGGACCCATTCCTTGTGTAAACTTCTTTAAGAATTAGAAATTATAAAGTACCACTTTAAAAAAAATTTCTTTACTATTCTAATATTCTAATAACTTTACAGAAACTTTAAGTTTTCAAGTGATATCATTTCGATATCGTATCGATATTAAATCGATATTGAAATGATATCAAAATGATATCAAAATGATACCGTTAAGATAAACTTAACGATATCGATTCTATATTGATTAAAAATGTTAAGTTTCTGTAATGAAGAGAATTAAAAAATTTCTTTGCATTTAAATTTTACGTTCATTATACAAATTAATAATAAATATGTCCACGTACTTTTAGACTCAAAAATAATAGCGTAATGCCAGTAGTAGTTCAAGCATTAGTGGTAAGAAAAGTAATTACTATCTCATAATGTGAGCGAGGATATACATATTGTAGTATATTAAATGATCAAGAACTTGCAGCTAAAGGAAATTATTTCACTTCTTATCTCAGGCCCTCTCATTATTAATTTGGCTCTTCACAAATTACTTCAAAATATTATAAATAAAGGTTTATACCTTTTTCGTTTTGTCCAAAACCTTACTATTTTAATTAGTCATTTAAAAAATTTTTCGGTGAATTATAATTGTCATTTATATAATTTTTTGATTTTCAAAGTTGTCTTTTGAATTTATATGAAAGTTATTAAGTATCAATGTGAAATAAACGTTTTTAGTGTACATCAATCATTTATTAATTGTTTCTCAGAGCTATTTTTACCAAATATTGATCTCGTGATATGATTACTAATCAAGTGATCTGTCATACTCTAACTATTTTCATCGATATAAAATAAGTTAATATATATTTCTTTTAAGTAACAATAATAGAAACTTACATTATAACAATTCAGATTGTTGTAATTCCATTATCGATCAAATGAAGAATTCATTTTTAACTATATAAGGAATAGTAACGTAGAATTTTTTAAAAGCTCATTCAATGATTAATCAATCAACCATACAGTAATAACAATATACTGTAAATTAATTATTATTATTAAGAATATTAACATCTACAATTTTGTTTCCAATTTCCTCAGTCTAGTTTACATTATTAGATAACCTGGAAGTCAACTTAATAGTTGGATAATAATTAATAATAATTATACTAATTCGTCCATAGTGGATAGTGTAAGAATCTTTTAATAGTACTTTTTAGATGAATTAATAAAATAAATTGTTATCAATTTTATTATAAGATTAATAAAATAATTGGCTGATCGTATTACTTTTATTTTCTTTTTATACATAAATACATAAGTAATATTCAATTAAAGATTTTGAAGAAATTTTTTGATCATTTAATAAAAATAATTTAGTACAAATTAGTAAGAAAATTACATCAATTCCTTTTTATCAATAATATTAGTAATCTTTTTAATACAAGGTGTAATAATCATGTAATATCAAAATTAAAAATAAAACCATAAAAAAGGTTGTAAATTATCTTCGGCGAAATGAACGATTCGGGAAAAAGATTCAACGAAATGTCTATTCGACAAAATGCCTATTAGATGAAATATCCTTTCGGTGAAACTTCCGTATGGCGAAATGGCCTCAGAGAAATGGGTTTCAGCGAAATGGATTTCAGCGAACCGTAACCGTTATTTTATATTATCAGTTTGACGTTAATCAGTGCGCTTTTTTATCTATATTCAAATTTATAGTTTAAGGAGTTTATCCTATTTTTCTTTTGATACGATTACAATTAATTGGCAAAATGAAAAAAAAGAATATAAAGAATATTACATCAGACGTTATTATATATTAGTAAAATTGAATGAATCGAAAAGAGTAGATAAACCAAAAGAACATAACACTATATCTTATCTACTCATTTAACTAAATAAACTTTTGGGTCCTACTAAGCTATAAAGTGTTTGATCATTATTATTTTATTATTACATATCCGTCCTATTTTCTTCGTATCTCATAGTATAAATTTCATATTAAGTAAATATCTCTGCACATATTATTAGAGATACAACAAAGTAGGTTGCTGCTTCCTAGCCAGCTTTGTCTTTCATTCGTGATCTAGATAGGCTGATAGGGTACGTCTGTCAAACCTTACATTAAGGTTCCACTATCAATAATTTTCTTTGGCTGCTATACACAGTTTCCAAAAAATCAACATATAGTTTTGGAAATACTCAACATTGTGGAGGGAAAAACTAGCAGTTATAAATATCTTTTCTTTGTAAGCTAAAAATAAAAAAATATCATAAGTATGGTTGGTACCAATGGAAGAAAATAATCAACCACCATCATACTACATAAAAAAAAGCTTCTGGAAAGAAATGATATCCAGTTTAGATACGAGACAGATACATAAGCTAACCTAATCTAGCACACAAAAACACACACATACAAACTGAGAAGCTAAGCCAGGATCTTATGCTTACCTTAATAAGTAATAAATAAATGGTTCATAATGATTATTTTAAATTTTTTATAAATATATAGTGCTCCTCAAAACCTTCTTTACATTGGGCCTCTCTTAAAGAGTAAGTTGGTAACAGTATAGGAGCTTCTCTCTCCAATGACGCATAAAATTACTTACAACATGTCATATACAAACTCTCCTCAGCTATATAACTATATTAGATCTATTGATAGCACACTTTATTGTAAATAAACGTGTGAAAATAAATAGAAGTATTTTTTTTTATTTTAAAGATGTAAAAATTGAGAAAAATATGGGTGAAATATATATATATTTTTATCTTTCTTTTTTCAAACTTTTATAGTATTTGTAATGAGTTGAGCAATACTACAATTTACTATTAATACTATTTAACGCATAAGTATTAAAAGCACATGATGTAAGATGTTCTGGCACGTGATTCTTGTTTATTTAAATCCATCCAAATTCTGATATACTCAAAACACCTTTGAGTATTTCTAGAGTCTGGTTCATAAGTTTTAAGAATCCAATAATATAAATTTGAATGAATTGATAATGACCTAGTAATCTTGGTAGATTTAATTGAATCAACATCGTCAATATCCGACAATAAATTAGTTTTCTTATGACTTCTCTTGGGTTTAATAGCTTTAATAAGATAGGAAGTACTAGAAATCGCTGATTTGGATTCTTTACGAATTAATTGAAATACGCTCATTAAAATATCACTAATCTGTGCTCAAATAAATGAAATGCCTCCTCCATGACAGGTATCAGTCAATATAAATAAGCAAATTTAAACGAGTAACGATAGCACGTACACCGGGACATTCTCAGTCACTTGGATGAGTTAGAAAGAATAAAATTAAAAGAGCACCTTGTATAGCAAGTTCGTTAACGTCGTTACAAATTTCATGATAGCCGATTTCTTTCACATAAGTATTAAATCCGTACTGCACTGGCTACAACGTTTAATTGACGACTATTTTCATAACTATCCTTCGGCGAGTACTCTTCATGTGCCGTAGATTGCATTACTCGAATATAATGCACTGTATCTTCATAAATAGGTTTTGGACGGGAAGAAAATGATATAAACTTTTTATTATTTATAACTAAATCTTTTATTTCATTGTTATTTTGAAGTAATTTTTGAAGTGAAAAATTAATATTAACGAGAGGGTCTGCAGATAAAAGGTGAAATAATTACATATCGTTTCCTTTAATTGCAAGTTCTTGTCTTTTTGATCATTTAATATATATAGTATATTCTTCAGTAGTAAGCCTAGTAAAAATCAGTAAAGATAAATTACTGATCCATCATGGTGACAGCAATTACTTTTGAAAGGTACAAATTATATCGAAGTCAACCTGATTCAAGTTATGTTCTATTTTAAATAAGCTTTCATCATAGTTTTCGAAGTGCATTATTGGGTGGCGTACGAAAGAACGAGATAAAATTGTTTTTCTTGAAAGTAAACTTCTGGCTATTTCCGAGTCTCACACATAGAAAAGTGCGTGAATTTATTGATAAGCCATTCAGCGCGTGCGTGGGGTCTTTTGATATAGCATACCATTATCGATTGGTTAAAATAAGCGACAAAGAAGCGTGTACAAACTTAAAAATTCGATATTCAATTCGTAGGGTGGCTGCATAGTTTTTATACCTCACAAAAGATGATAGAGATGATGTCACTTTTTTTAGGGTACAGTGTCATTGATATTTTTTAGTTGCGGCATCTACAGACTTGGAAGGACATGCGCTCGCCTTTTTATTATTTAAAGAGAAGCTTTAGAAGTATTATGCAAAATATTTTTTAAAGAAATTTTGAAGAAAAATTTTCCTGAATTTAAATACTATTTTTAATAAACGAAAATTTGGATAGATTGCTTTTATCACATCATCACATTTAACTCGGAAAATTTACTCAACGAAACTCGTGATATACGTAACCATTTCTTCCAAGTTAATCGTTTAAATAAATAATATCAGTCATTTATTTTATCTAAATATAATTTTTAATATGAATTAACCGAAAAATTTAGAGGACGATGAAAAATGACCTTATTTATTTTCGGCAGTGTGGGCGCTTCCACGTTTATAAAACTTGTTATACTAAATATTATCGGCTTAATTTTTCATATTTCCCACAAGAGTAACCTTAACGAACCTTTGTTTTTGAGCTTCTTTAAATATACAAAGAATATACTTACATCATAAGAAGAGAAACGGCTAGCTAAAGAAAAGAAAGTATTTTGTAAAAAGAAAGAAAAAGTTCTTTGGCATCTGCATAAATGGGTTTGTACATTTTAGCTTTTAATGACAAAAAAAAAAATGTTCTTTAAGTGGAAATATGTAATATATTAGTGTACCGTTCGTAATTGACGTAAAACTATTCTTGAGAATTCATTGGATTATTTATTTATTAGTATATAATTATAAATGTAACGGGAGTTACTAAATTAATTGAGAATTTTAAAACTTTGATAGAAAAAGCAGACGTGTAATAATTTTAGTAGAGATGTTGAGATGACGGTAAAAGGATTTATAAGTGATGATGACGAAAATGCAAGGCTTTTATGGTCGAGTGAATTTTCAACACTTAGAATTTATATTGATGAAAATCTTTATAAAAATCTTTATACTATAAATAGAATGAGACCTGAATATAGAAAAGAATAATTCTAGTGAATTAGTTGAAATCATAGAATTTATATTATAGATTTATAACCAAGCATTATGTTATTTGTCACATTTCATGTTAACGTTCTTAAAGGATTAAGTTGTCAAGACTGCGGTGGCAACGTGATTATCACGGGCGTAGTCCTGCAATATCATTAATTTCACGGCGCAGCTGTGAAAATCATATTCCCGTGAAAATGATAGAAATAGTGATAGATTTTTTATCCAATATTTATAGACTTTTTATCCATCTTTTTAAATAAACATCATCCGTGAGAATATCAAGAAAAAAATCATGGCCGTATTAATATATCAAAATAGTTCCATAAATAAGAATTAAAACACTTAAAAAGAGATATATACGTGGAAGTGTTGAAATCATTTTTTATCTCCCACTAAATTTTTCGGTAATATTATATTCAAAAATTAAGATTCTATTTAAATTCATAAATTTGTTGAAAAATTCCATTATTAGACATTACAGTCAAAGTTCTCTATAGCGAATTTTTATATAGCGAATAATTTGCTATAATGAAGAAAAGTTCAGGTACAGATCTTTATATTTATAATAAAATGGCTTTTAGTATAGCGAATTTCTTACTATAACGAATTTTAATATCCGGCCCGTGGGATTCGTTATAGAGAACTTTGACTGTATAGATATTATCTTTGATAAACAATTACCTCATTCGTGGAAGAGTTACGCATTATAAATTCACTGAGTTAAATGTGAAGCAATACAATAACTTCACAATTTTTTTTTTTTTTTCATATTGAATAATAGCCCTCCAAATATTCTCTTTAAAATAAGACGAGCGCAGTCTGTAAATGCCGCAGTTAGTAACATCATCCTTGTGTAAGGTACACCCGTTTCACGAATTTTCAAGTTTGTACTCCTTTACCACTTATTTTATCAAAACTAACAAAATAGTTTAGAAGTGACTCAAGCATTGCTGTCAAGAAAAGTAATATTATCGTACAACGTCTAAGATTCTCTTAGTACGGACAATATTATTAGCAGTTAGAAATTTTATATCACGAGTTTCACTAATAAGTTAGTATGATAATCAGTTTTATTATTCAAGCTTGTGCGACCTTAGTTTCATTGATGTTTTGAAACAGTGAAACGAATAAGTTTACTTAATTCGGTTAGAATTATTTACATTCGGCGTACGCTAATCCGCTTTTAAAAAAAGCTTTGTAGTCCAAGACAATAATATAACATACATTCTGATTTCTGATATTGTAAGCAAATTCAGTTTCCCAAATTATCAAAATTAAACGCAAAGGGATTTAAACACTTTTTTTCGATAGCACACAACCTCACACGCATGTACTAGAATGGATAATCAAGAAATACGGCTGTGCTCACGCAACTTTTCATGCAGGTATGACTTCCTTCGTTATTTCCGTTAATTATTTCGGAAATTATGACGAAAAGCTTATCGAACTTATTAAAATAGAACAAATATTTACTATAAGGCTAGACGCTGATTAGATTTTTTTTTTTATAAAAAAAAAAAATCTCAAGAAAATAGTTTCTTAAGTCTTCAAAGCAATATACTAAATTATAGAAAAGTACACTTTATTAATTATTAAAATTTTTCAGTATATTATAATTCTTAATAGTATTGGTTAAAAGTAATATTTGAACAAACGATCTCAAAGATTTTATTTTAATTTATAAAATTACATGATCATTACGTAAAATTTGTCACTTCGTGATAAAAAGATTTGTAAAGATAACTAATAAAAGAAATTGTGGTAATCTTCCTTACTAATTTTTACTAAACTATCTTATATTAAATGATCAAGAACTTTGCAACTAAAGGAAACGATATGGAATTATTTCATTTTTTATCTACTAGTCTTAATCAACCAAAATTAAATTGTTCAAGTATAATAAATTGTTGGACTTAGTATCTACTATTCTATGTACAATTATCAAGTTTTGCGTTAAAAAATATTGGTAGTAAATTGTCAAGACATTTTCAACTTGAAATAAGACTAAGGTATCGTTAATTTCATTTAATCTATGTTTAAATAAATGAAATGTCTCCTCCATGACAATATCAGTCAAATTAAACACAAGATCAATAAGTTGATTTTAATCGAGTAACGATAGCACGACACCAGGACATTCCCAATCGCTTGTGGAGTTGGAGGGAATAATATTAAAAGAGCACCTTGCATAACAAGTTCGTTAACATCGTTACAAATTTCATGATAGCCCCACATAATTGACATAAGTATTAAAAGTACATGATGTATGTAAGATGTTCTGGCACGTGATTCTTGTAATTTTAAATCTACCCAAATTCTGGATTCAATGATATCCTCACATCTTTGAGTATTTCTAGAATCTGGTCCATAAGTTTTAAGAATCCAATAATATAAATTTGAATGAACTGATAATTCTAATCTTGGTAGATTTAATTGGGTCAACATCTTTAACATCCAACTTGAAACCAACGTATAAAAGTTCAAAGCAATCGCTAATTTAGATTCTTTACGAATTACATGAAATGCGCTTATCAAAATATTACCAATTTCACTTAATCTATGTTCAAATAAATGAAATGCTTCCTCCATGACAGTATCAGTCAATTTAAATTTAATTCCCAATCGCTTGGTGGGGGTCGGAGGGAATAAAATTAAAAGAGCGCCTTGCATAACGAGTTCGTTAACATCGTTACAAATTTCATGATAGACGATTTTTTTTTCATATAAGTACTAAATCCGGATGAATCAGTATTGCTCTGACTACCACGTTTAGTTGACGACTATTTTCGTAACCATCTTTTGGCGGATACTCCTCATGTGCCCTTGAATATAATGTACTGTATCTTCGTAAGTAGGTTTTGGACGGGGAGGGAAAGGTTTTTATTGTTAATTAAATCTTTCATTTCATTGATGATATTTTGAAGTAATTTTTGAGGAGCAAAATTAATAACGAGAGGGCCTGCGGATAAGAAGTGAAATAACTCCATATCGTTCCCTTTAGTTGCAAGTTCTTGATCATTTAATATACTATAACCTTCAGTAATTAGCTTAGTAAAAATTGATAAAGGTAAATTACTAGCCCATGGTGATTGTAATTTCTTTTGAAAAGCTCGAATCCTATCGAAGTCAACTTGATTCACGTTATGTAAATGAAGAGACAAAATCGCTTTTTTTGACAGTAAAGCCTGAATTACCTCCGGCGTTATGAAGCTATTTCCAGGCCTCACTGCATGGAATAGTGCGTGAGCGCGACCATATTTATTGATAAGCCACTCAGAACGTGCGTGAGGGTCCTTTGATATAGTATACCATTGTCGATTTGTTAAAATAGTTCGTTAAAAGTGCATGTGCGCGACCGTATTTATTGATAAGCCACTCAAAACGTGCGTGAGGGTCCTTTGATATAGTATACCATTGTCGATTGGTTAAAATAAGTGGTAAAGGAGTGTGTACAAACTTAAAAAGTTCGATAGCTCTCGGGTTTGGGGAAAAAAAAAATATTTCTAAAAAATTTTGTGAAAAATTTGTAAAAAATTTTTTTGCGAATTTTTTTTTTTTTTTTGGATCTTTTATTTATATAAAAATTTTAATATGTCAATATAAAAAAATTGCTCATCACATTTTCTACATTTTCTGTAACACTAACTCGGGAAATTTTAACTCGGAGAATATTCATGACAATCGTGACATGCAACAAATAAATTAATCATTATTAATTAATTCCGTCGTGTATATCTAATAATAGAGTATTTCAATAAATTTATTAATTTAAATAGAATCTTGGTTTTTATTTTAGAATATATTAGTATTAATAATGAAAAAAATTTAGTGGGCGATGAAAAATGATCTCACTTTATCAGTATAGGCGACTCCACATATTTTAGGTATTTTATATTATAAATTTTTTTGTTGGACTTTTGTTCTTGTAAAACAACGTAATATATTTTAAAAGAATATAAATAAAAAAAAAAAATTCTATAGAAAAATTTTTTTTTGCCTCCGTAAAAAAAACACAATTTGTTTGATATGTAACATTAATGTGATACTCCTGTTGAACAAACTCCAAAACCTTTCAGAATATTTCCAAAAATGTTTAAAGCAAAAATAATAAAGACAATATCACTGGTCGATCTGCATGAAGTTTACATATCATAGCACTGAAAATATGATCATATCCTGGAATGCATTAGATCATTGACAATCATATCTTGAAATGAAAAATTGTGAAAATTTATGCATTTTTATGGATTAGATTTTTAACCATAAATCCAAATTTTGATCAGATAATTTTATTTTTATATATACAGTATATTAGTAAATGTTTGGACTTCTTTTGCTATAGTTACCGTCTTTGTTCTTTTTTAAATAAATCAATAAAGTCGTTGCATTTCTCTTGAAAAAAAAAAAAAAAAAATAGCAAAACGATTTTGAAATTATTAAAATATTATCGTTAGACGTTAATTTCTATTAATTCAAGAAGACGATCTTTAATTTTTTGATGTTGAATCATTTGAAAGATAAATATAATTATATACAACATTTGGGAATTAATATTAAAACGAGATCTTTATTAAAAATTAATATTTTCTTTGATGGAATGGTACACTGATAGAAATAAATTTACGAAAATTTTTTACGAATATTTTAATTTGGAACAATTTTTAATTCTTAAACGTAACTACAAATATCGAAGATTACAAGTAGATTTGGAGTCTGCCTTCTATCTTTTACAAGGCGACCAAGGTACCATGTATACAGATTTTTACGAATCAAGAATGAAAAGAAAAAAGATTCAATCCTTATCGAAGAAATACCTACGATAGAACAAATTAAAAAATCGCATTTTTCGGTTTTTAAAGACCGTTTTTTTTCGACATGTTAATATAGAGAAAGAAGATTTTAACCATGTATGGGCATGTAATTAAAGACAGGAATAGATTTCTATTTTAATTCAACAAATTAGACAAATTTTAATCGATAATATTAACGATCAAATAGAAAATCAAGCATTACATATAGACGATATTGATTTGTCTGATTTACTTTATATTTGGGATAATTCAATTAGAGAAGATAATTTTACGAATATTCATATAATTAAAAGAATAATTCCTTTAAGTTCAAGCAAATTTATTAATGAAAAATTGCAAAAAAAAAAGAATCTTAATATAATTCTCGGAAATTTTCTTTCGATTTAATTAGAGATTTTTGAAATGAACGATGTTCTATTTATCACGAAATTAATATGGCATTAGGTATTACAAACAATATTTTAAAAGTACAATATGATAAAGAAAGATATATTACAACAATGAAACTTCGGTTAAATGTTATTGAGTGTGATATAACCTCCGACGTTGTATAGTAGTATAGTTGATGAAAATCTATATAGTATAGTATTTTATCTATACTTTCATTAATAATATAGTAGAGTTAGTAAATTTGCATTAATATTAATATAATTTGCAAACAATTTACATTGGTATTAATAAAATTATATCTTAATTATATTGAATAAATTAACCTGTTACCGCGTCACTGCATTTTTAAAATTATATGCTTAATTGGAATATTTTTTTTTTTTCTTAAAAAAAAAAAAAAACTTTGGGATTTTGACTGTCAAGATTTTTAACTGTGACTATCGGGATTTTATTTCAACTAGATTAGCGTTTGTCGTCTTGAGTATAAAAATTTTTATATCATACCGGCAATACTGTTATACTTTATAAATTTAGGACACATGATCCTATGAAATTACCATTAAACTACTCGATAAACTTTAAAGAAAATTCTAAATATCGAAAGGATCCTGAATTTCGCAATTCCGCCTCCAAAATGAAACCATAAGTGCCGTTGCAATTGCCGAATTATAATAAGAAATATGGATTTCGGAAATCAAATTATTTACGACGTAACCAAAAAAAATTCTACCTTTACGCATAACGAAGAAAAATTAATAAATTAAGGTACCGTAATTCAGACATTCAACATTAAATGACAAATGGCCTAGTCATATAAAATTATAGTATCATAAATTATATCCCGGTCCGTTTAGCTCATCGTAACGCTTAAATCTGATAAGTCACGTGATGTTATAATGCTCATCTTTACGTTTAATTTGTACCATTCTAACTCCGGCCAGAATTAAAGGATCGGCATATGGATCTGTACCTATCCGTGAATTAATACAGCATTAAATTTTAAAAATGACTCAAATTACAAAATGTCCTAAATGACTAGGTCATTTGAAGTTCATTCAGATGATTGATTACTACATTGGTACGGAAAAGAAAACGTTTTGTACCCAATTTTTTTTATAAGTTCAGAATCAATGATTCTTTGTTCTTTAAATACGAAAATAAAAATATATAAAAGTATAGTAAATATCAAAAAATTTTTATTCTTATGCAAATGTTACATATAAAAACAAGGGCTGGTTATCGATCGTAAATTTTATGTTGTTATTAATTTACCATAAACAGTGCCGTCTAATAAATTTCCTAATGATTAACGTAGGCATTTTCGTCTCGGTGAGAAATACAATCATTGTTTAACCAGCTATGTTTGAAACCGTCTTGATTATCAATCAAATTATTATTTTCAATATTTTTGTGAAAAGAATTCATCGAGGTTTCATTAGAATCGAATATAACTTCATTATCAGGAATATGATGTTGCAAAAAATACAAAAAAAGAATTTGTTTCAAGTTTTCTTCGAGACCTAATTTTTGATGTAAGGTTAACAAATATCTACATTTCAAATATTTTACATCAAAATCCATTCCATAAATTTCTTTATTCAATAAATTTACAATTAAAGAACACGATAATAATTTACACATAACATGAAATATCGCCGTAGGGTCATGCGAACTTTGAAAAACAAACTCATAGTCGTATTCATCGTCACAGAAAATAGAATTTTTCGCTCTTGGAAGAAAAGCTTGCAATATCTTTTTAGATAAATATTACTACCATTCTGATAGAATAGTCCAAGTTCAACAAATTTGTTTTGCATAGGTTGAAGCGACATCTTTTGTGTAAAATGACGAGTGGAGATAGTGTATTACAAGTATGTACTTTTTTTATAAAAAAATAAAAAAAAGCTTGAAAAACAAAACGAGCGGTAAAAGGGTGCATTATATAGCGGTGATAAGCAACAATTTACTGTGGATGTTTGGAATCTAGATATGTTAAAAAATTGCATCATCTGACTAAAAATCGTTAATATGATCGAAAACTTGATAATTTAAATAACCATTACCTCTATGAATATTATGAAATAAACAGATAACGTGGATTAAAAACTAAATGATATTGGTTATTGTCGAAACAAACCTGGTTGTAAACTAGATAGTCGATACATACTTAGAAAGTGTGACAACTGTATTTCTAAAAATAGACTAATTTGAAGATGCAGATATATCGTGAAAGCTACCATTGTTTGATGCATATAAAATTTATTTTCATTTATAAATTAATTATAGATATTGAGGAATTCTTTTAGTTTGGATTTGGTGATCACCCAAAACCTAAGAATAAATTTTTGCACGAATATTAACGCTTTATTGTCGGAAGTTACACTGGAGCATCTTAAAATATATACACAGATATATATATATATATTATATATATATATTATATTCGCAACGGCTAAAGAAAAAATATTATATTACATAAGATGCAGGCGTATCGCACAATTTAACATTTTTATATAAGAACGATCTAAACGTGGTACTCGTGGTAATGAAACAATACTTTTTTATTATATATATATTATAAATTGTATTTGTTGATTTATATAGTCAAAATCATATAAAAATTAACCTGGATTATTATAAAAATCAGTTATTAAAATATTTGGCTGAGCTTTTAAGTTAAATTGGTGTGTAGTCGAAAGTTTATTCAACCATCACTAAATTTGGGAATCCTAAATCGGGTGATTCTGTATTACAAACGAACATGTGAATTAAAATGATCGAAAAGGATTGACCGTTTTATAAGTTACGAATTTTCATCTAATGAATACTTTCCATTATGTTTTCATTCTATCC